CCCCAAAACCCCAAAACCCCAAAACCCCAAAACCCCAAATCAAACCCTTAATCTTGAAATTAACTCTTAAAATCTCTTATTTATTCTTTTTTCACCTTTAAATTTTCTCTTTGACCTCTTAAGGTCTCTTTCCTCTTTCTCTTTCTCATTCTTATCATTAGCAGAGTCAAATAGGTTATCTACTCTGGTCTTGACTTCCCTCTTCGACCCATTTTCAGCATCTTCTTCGGTAATCGTAGTGTAAAGGTGGTCGCGGAAGCCAGCTCCGCTGTTCTTCAGGCACAACGGAGTCACTGTGCTTGAGCGAGGCTCTGAACTTCTTGGACGAGTGACCGAAGTGAAGGAGCGCAAGGGCGATCTAGGCTCCACACTGCTGCATCTATCGTAAAGGGCTGCCTGTCCCCTGCGGGACAGGAAGGACCCTTTGTATTCATTCAGCATGGATTGGTAGCGGACAGATGCGCTCTGGGAAAGCCGCTCATCTGCTTCCTTCTCTCTCGCAACTTGTTGGTCTAAAGCAAGTGAAAAGTCCTGCAAATGACTAGACTGGATCTCTGGTCGAGTGGTTTTTCTGCTTTTCTTCAGGCTCTTTGTAGTGCTTTTATGTGTTGATCTTTGGGCCATTTGGAGCTGGTCAAGGTCTTTGTGAGCGGAAGGATTTCTGATGATTTTTTGGACTTGGGTTTTAAGCTCTGAAATATCTCTTTTGAGCTTGGGGGTTGCCTAAGAGGTTGTGGAAGGAACTTACATTGTAGCTGGTGAGTTCTATAGTGGAAAGTTAGAATGGTAGAAATAGAGTTTTAAGATAATGTGAAAATGAACTTTATATTGGTAGTTTAGCTGAGATTGAATGAATTGTAAGACAATAAGCTCCTACACACATAATATCCTCGTTGGAAAAATTATTATAAGGCTGTAAGCCTTTATCTCTACTCTTCCAACTTATGTCTTAAAAATAGGGAAATTTTGTTCAAAAGCTCGCTTTTTACAAAAAATTCATATTTTTGAACAAAATTTCATAAATTCGCCATAGTTTGAGTACTAATAATCACAAAATATCCATACATCAAACTCGATTATCCTCAGCCTTGTAACAAGTTATTCCTTATCTCAAAAAGCTAATTTCACTTCACTACTTAATCTAAAACACCAAGGACTTCTCAGCTCAAGAACACAGTACTTTCAAGCCGCTCACCCTAGTGCTTTAAATTGGCATCAACCCCCATAATTTTCATTAAATTTTAAGGCTAAAATCCAAATTTTTACACAGAAAATTCAGGAATTTCCAAATCCCTCTATTACAGCCAACAGTGAAGGGGAGGTTCTGCGTGGCAATATGTAGAAGACAGAGGCTAAACTTACCGTTATCGACTGTGTCATCTCCAACAAGATTATACGCTAGATGGGAAGACCTAAAACTCTTGTTGCTGTTCTTGGTCGACATCCTATTTTCTACTCTTTTGCTGAAATCCTTCATGTTGCAATCTATGGCATACACAAGCTGGTCAAAGTCTGATTCTATGTTGTGGAGTCTCATGTTCAAGCTCTGGATAGTGTCCTCTAGAAAATAATAGGGTGGCTTACTCCGATTCTCGTATTTGGTCACATCATACTCTATGTCCTTTATTCTGGCATCGAAATCGTCCCTGAGCGCTTCGAGTTTGTCTAGACAGTTAGGAACGGGGTTTTGAGGAGAATTTAACCAGTTTTAGGTGAAAAATTACCTTGGAGATTTACTATATGGTCTGAAGAACAGGCATGATCTGTTTCATAACCGGCAATAAGGGAATTAAGCTGAACCTGCATCTTCTCAACTTTAGTGTCGACCTGCATGCGGTCTAATTTCCTGCTGATCGCTGCATCTATTAGATCGTTCACGTTGGATAGCGTAGGAACATCTCTTTCAATTATGCCGTAGATGTCTGTTAGAGTTAAATTCAGAAAATTACCCTTAAGTTGGTACTGGAGTAACTCTTGCTTGCCCAAAGACTCTTCAACAAGTTTCCTTAATGTGAGGTCCTCCATGGAGATCTTCTCTTTCTGCGATGACAAAGATAGCTCTTTCTGGACGTATCTCCCAACAAGGCCCTTGATACTACGAGATGGAAGCTCATCTCTCTCAATTGAGAAGGACTCGTCCTCCTCTTTGATAATCGAGATCCTGTTGTTGAGTTTGGGAGTCTCTCTGTGGGTTGACCTACTCCTTGACTTCTTCAAAGGAGATGTTCTCTTCTCTGAAGGGTCCACCAGAGCCTTCCTCTTTAGAGAAATCCTTGACTCGAAACTTTTGTTTGGAGTGAACCTTTTGATTTTCGATCTAAAATAAAAATTATTAATGCTAAAATATGAGAGAATACTTTTCAGAATTAAGGATGAATTCTTGGTCTTCTTTGATGGCAAGCTTGGCCTTTGCCTTTTCATACTCAGCTTTACTGTCCATCATTTTATGGAACCAGGCTACTTTATTCTTGCTTCTGATCGACGAAGCACAAGTATCTTCGACAGTTTTAGTGTTTGCAAATGTTTCAGGGGTTCTTTCTCTTGAAGATTTTTGGTTCAACGAGGCTAAAAATGCAAGATTAGTACACTTAAGTCAAGCATTGGAGAAAAATTAAGGAAAAATTAGGGAATGAGACCCTACCTGATATATCTGACTCAAAATGGTTTGAGGCACATTCCATGACACTCCTGTTTACTTCCTCTTTTCTTTGCTTCAATGATGATTTTGAAGCCATTCTCATTAAATGTTGATTTTGCCTTTGGATGTTAGAAGCAACTATCGATGGATCGCCTCTTCTAGTGATTGTTGACTGTGTTCTCTAAACGAATTAAGCAGGATTTGTACTTTATATATTTTTGAAGAGGGCATTTGATAGTAATTTCCTTCTTCGTCAAGATCGTGAAATCTCTTTTCCCTAAATATGTTAATAAAAGTCTGTATACCAATAATTCAGCATGTGCGTTTGCCTATACATAAAATTAGGGCTATTTCCTAAGCAAGAGTATCAAATTACGAATTAAACTACATTGAAAAAGTCTCTGATGGAGTCAGACTTACCTGAAAATAAAATAAAATGATTTTAATATAAGTACCCTTTCTTATCAATTTTGGAAGACTCTCAGGGGTTTTGGGGTTTTGGGGTTTTGGGGTTTTGGGGTTTTGGGGTTTTGGGG